TTAAATAGAGTGGTTACTCGTTATCTTCTTGAATAAAATAATACTTCTTACCTGCACACAATTTTCGTCGATTAAAATTTAAATTTTCTAGTTCAATAAGTATAAACCAATATAAGTATAATATAAGTACTAATATAAGTACTAATATAAGTATAAACCGTAAACTAAGCTTCAAAAAAAAAAAAAAAAAAAAAAAAAANAAAAAAAAAAAAAAAAAAAATAGAGAGAGAGAGAACAATATTCAATGTTATCATTTGACCTAATATCAAATATTAAATATTCGAATTTTTTATGTTTTTAAAATGTCAGTTTTTATTGATTAAGCTAGATGCTTAGCTTAGAGCTCTCTTTTATTAGTTTTGCGGCTGAATCAGACTTATTTTTAATACTATATAATTAATATTGAATGTAAAGGAAGGCGGTTTTTATTGTTCTAAACTAAATATTCCGAACACTCTTCTATTAGTTTTACGACTAAACTAGATTTATTTTTAATTTAAAATACTTTAATCTAATATAGAATATTAAATATTTGAATTTTTAATGTTTTAAAATGGACGTTTTCATTGCCTTATACTACATGCTTAGAGCATTTTTCTATTAGTTTTCCAGCTGAATCAGACCAATTTTTAATCCTAAATATTTTAATACTGCATTCCTTAATCTCATATTAAATTTTAAAGATGGCGGTTTTCATTGTAATAAACTAGATGTTCCATACGTTTTTTTTAATTAGTTGTTGTTGTTGATTTACGTCGCACTAGAGCTGCACAAGGAGCTATTGGTGACGGCCTGGGAAATATCCCTGAGGATGATCCGAAGACATGCCGTCTCAATTTTGATCCTGTGCAGAGGGGATGGCACCCCAGCTTCGGTAACCCGACGATCTGCACTCGAAGTCGAGCACTTTACGGTATAGCAGTTTAACGAGGACCAATACCGCACACCCTCGGTCCCTACCATCTCTAACCGGACTGATCCAAGTGGTCACCGACCAGCACACTGATTGCAGCCAATGATGCACCCGCACACTGACCTCAGACAGTGATGCTTGACTTCGTTGATCTGGTGGGAACCGTGTCTTAATCTTAACGATCAGTCCTCTGCGGGACTTTCAATTAGTCGTACGGCTAAAGCTGATTTATTTTAAGTTCTAAATGCTTCTATCTAATATAGAATATTAAATATTCGAATTTTTAATGTTTTAAAATGGCAATTTTTATTGTATTAAGCTAGATGCTTAGCTTAGAGTTCTCTTCTATTAGTTTTGCTGCTGGATCAGACTTATTTTTAATCCTAAATATTTTAATCTAATATGGAATGTTAAAGATGGCGGTTTTCATTGTATTAAACTAGATTTTCCGAACTCTCTTCTATTAGTTTTACGTTTTAACATTAAATACTTTAATCTAATATCGAATATTAATTATTCGAATTTTTAATTTTTCAAAGTGGCAGCTTTCATTCAATTAAACTAGATGCTTAGAGCACTCTTTTATTATTTTTACGACTGAATCGGACTTATTTTTAATTCTAAATATTCAAATATAATATTGAATGTTAAAGCTGGTGGTTTTCATTGTATTCTGTAACACTATTCTATTAATTTTATGGCTAAACCAGACTTATTTTTAATGCTAAGTATTTTTACCTAGTATAGAATATGAAATATTCGATTTTTTAATGTTTTAAATGGCAGTTTTCAGTGCATTAAACTAAATGCCTCGAACACTCATCTATTAGTTTTGATTTATATTGAATATTAAATATTTTATTCTTGTGTCGAATATTAGTTTGAATTTTGAATAATAAACATGGTAGTTTTCATTAAACTAAACTAATGCGCCAAGCACGCTTGTATTAGTTTTAGAGTTGAATAAAATAATATATTTCGAATTTTAAACTTTCAATTTAAATTTCGGGTACTGAACATTTCGAATATTTAACATTTGACTTTGTAATATTCAACATAATTGCTTTCATTTCATTAAACTTATTGCCTTTAGACCCCTTTATTAATTTCAAGGTTAAAATAGATTTATTTCGAAATATTAAACGTCTTATACCAATTTCTTATCTTAAGCATTCAATTTTCGCAATTTGATAATTCTTTAATTATTATTACCAAACTCTATAGTATTAACTTTACTGTTAAATCAAATTTATTTCGATGAAAAAAGAATTTTTTTTTTTTTTGAAGATTTATTATTTGAATTTCGAATGCAAAACTTGTCTATCCAATATCTCTCCCATAAAACGTTATTTTCAGGGAAAACTTTCATTACCTTTTTAAATTCCAACAATTTTTTAATTGAACAATTTTTAGATAAAACAGCTTGCTTGCAAACAATTCTTTTTCAGATTAAATTTGAGTTTTCTAGTTAGGTAAATTTAATCAGAAAAATTAGTTTTGTAAAAAAAGAACAATATTAAATGTTATCAAGAAAAGTTTATTCAATTTACTCGAAGAACTGGTGCAAATTTACTGCTAATTATGTGAAAATGAAATTAACGTATTATCTTATCTACAGTAAAATTTAATCGGGCATTAACTTTAAAATTGATCGATATTGTAAACCATTCGAGTTATAAATTTCAATGTTCCAAGCACTCTTGTATTAGTTTTACGGTTGATTTATTTCTGTTGTTATAAAGTGTCATAGTACCTGGATAACTCCCATATCTTGATAATGCATCTGCAGTAGGTCTTAGGGTATTAGGTATCAGGTTAGGCTTAGTAACTTATCTACTTAAAAAAAGAAGAAAAAATCGATATCTTTGTAATTAACTTACTACAAGATTTTAATTTTGCTACTTCCTCATAGTTTATTACTTAACTCTTTGACGCAGAAATTTTATTAAGCCTATTTTCATACTTTTTTTTTATTATTTTGTATTAATTTAGGTCAAAATAAGTGAAGGAGATTATATTTAGCATTTTAATAATTTATGGTTATGAAATACTGCATGAAACACTGGTGTCATTTTCAGCGTTGAAGTGAAATCTTCCAAACAATAACTGTACATAAGTTCAAATTTCTCAAATTTGCACTTATTTGCAGATATTTAGATTTATTTGATCATCACTGAAATTTCTTTAATTTTCAAATTATTTATTGATAACTTTTTGAGCATGAATGGAGAAAAAAAAATTACAAAAACTTTTTTTTGGATTTTATATTTTCGTACAAACATAATTCCGATAATTTAACAGATTTTTTAGTAACTTTTATACTGTATTTTATAATCCAAAAATACCAAAATATATTTTTACTAGTAATTAGAGCGTCAGAATGAAATAAGGGACAGTGTCCCATTTGCGACAAAGGGTTAATTAAATCAGTCTCGAATGGATAAAAATAATTTTAATTTGATTTTCATTTGAAGTTTCAGAATGCCAGCTGGGCTGAACAAATTCATATTAAAACAGCTTTTTTGAACTTAATTCTGAAAAACTTATTAGAAACCATTCCACGGAGTCATAGGGTTCGATGCCTGGAGGCGACTCTAAATCCACTCAGCTTTAGATCGAAGGATACAAACTTGTCTGGGAAGTAAAATTCTGACCACATTGCCACTATCATGCAGTCGATCACTTGGTGAACCTTAACTCTCATGATCACCCTAGCCCATAATGAGCTGTTGCAAAAATGCTTTATAGTATAGTTTTGAGCCGTGATGGCTTAGGGGATAGAGCATTCGCCTTCCAATGAGGTGAACCGGGTTCAAATCCCAGTCATGGCTAGTTGGTAGATACGAATTCTGCATCGGGCTTACACCGATCACAGTGCTGATATAAAATATCCTCAGTGGTAGACGGATCATGAGTTAGAGTCCCCTAGCCGTCAGACTAATCGTGGGAGGTATTCATGGTTTTCCTCCCCTTGTAACGCAAATGCGGGTTAGTCCCATCAAAAAATCCTCCACGAACGCAAATTTCTCCCAATACTTGATCCAGGAGTTCCCTTGTCTTCTGGATAAGGTTCAAAATTACAAGGCTACGGCGTTGAACATTAGTAGTCGTAAATCGAAAAATTGGGTCGACTGGTCAACGATGGCTATAAGATTAAATATAAAATAGTATAGTTTAATCAAGTTTAGGAAGTACTATAGTATGGTTTAACTAAGCTATGTAATAATGTTGCAGAAAGTTAAAGGATAATATGGTTTAACAAACACCAAAATTTTTTTTAACAGTGTATACATTTTTAACCCATACCGACCACTACCATGTTTTAACCATGTCCGACCACTATGATTTATATTAAACCCATTATACCCGGTCGGAAAATGATTTATGTTAAAAAAGCGATCGATATAGATCAAATATCATATACACTGAATAGATTTTTGTCTCTGTTACCTGCAATTTTAGTTCCATATAACATTTTGAACACTAATAATCTGTTGCGAAATCAATTTGAAAATTATCAATTAGAAGTCCTGCTATAAAAATGCTTTGAATCAAAGATTTCTTTGAAACAGTAAAAAAAAAATTTGCAAGAAAAATAAATAATTAAATATGCATCCGCTAAATTAATTTTCAATGCCAGAAAATAATTATAAATAAACAATTTAAACTATTGCGAAATAAAAAATGGAATTTACGAAGGTTGAAAATAATTTACGCTAAATTACCATTCTACCATTTAATACATGAAAATAGCGACTAATTTGTTAAATTTATTCCCCAAAAAAATAATTTCTGAATGCAAATAATGTTTATATTTTTTTTATTAACTTTTCAAAGTTTTGATAAATTTTTTCACAAAAAAGTCACTTTTGAATTTCAATTTAAGATGTCTCTATCTTTCATAAAAAATTTTAAGACAAAATTTCACTTATCACTTATGAATTAGATTTTTTCTTATTATTTCTGTTATTTTTGTCGAAAATATACAATTTATTTATGATTATTTTCATTATTTTCCCAATAGATGGCAGGGAGAAATACAATTTCCGGTCTCTCAATTTCCTGTATGCATTTTCGCTTAGAGTTCTTAAAAGTTGATCTTAATAAATCGAATGAACTGAAAAGGTGCAACTTTTCCTTGCTATTAGAGCAAGAGTTATAACAACTGAGAAAACTGATAGCAGTCAGATTGCTCCGAGGAATCATTTGAATTCATTATTGTTTACATTGTAGTGGAACTTCGACAACGTGTGTTTTTCGAGCTTAAACTGTCTATTTTTGTGTTTATTTTATGCAAAATGGTGCGAAAACTGAAATATCATGAACAGAAATTATTAAAGAAAGTTGACTTTATATCATGGGAAGTCGACAATACAATTCACGAGTTGAAAATTATGAAAAAATACTTCGTTCAGAAACGAGAAGATTATACGAGGTATGATTCATTAAAATGTATCATTTCCAATTATAACATGTCTATTTGCTAATTTTGAAATTTAATAAAATAATAATATAGATCATTATGCTAAATAATAATTGTTTTCTTATCATTAATTTAAAAAGTTGAATCTCTTGATAGCTGATAGTTGTACTTACCATTGGTAAGTGCTGTATGCTTGAAACATAATTAATTTAAGATTTTTATTGTTCCTCGGTTTCTTTTTTTCCTAGATTTTTATCAAACTTTGTTTCTCTACATAATTTATTACATATTGGTACAAAGTTTTTGGCTAAATGTATGAAAAGAACAATGGTCAGATAAACTACATTTTTTTTTCGTAGCTAACTACGAATACTCTATTAAAAATTCAGTTAACTGCAGCTAATTTTTTCTGAATGCAGTGACTACAATCGAATTTTGAAATGTTTACTTTACTGTTTTTAGAAGAACTTTGCTGGAGTTTTGAAGAATAAATTGGCTTATGTAAGCATGAGGAATTATTTAAGATATATATATTCAAGTTCGCATGAACCAGTCCAGTTTGTTCCTCTAAAAAAAATTTTTTATTCGTTCTATTAACCTACAACGTTTTATGCTTTTATAATTTAAGGAACACTCGGTAATTATCAAATATTTGTAGTTTTATTGAGTGTTTAAGTACTGTTATATTTCTTCTAAATAAAGTGGAAAATTAACAGACCAAAATATGTTCTCTTTCATCGGAATAACATGTTTCTATTCATTTAGAGTTTCAGCAGAATTCATTTTGTTTCAGAAAAAATTAACACTCAGATTTGACAATCTGACAGTTCAAATTAGATTGCAGAAGAATTTGAGCTGACAGGTTTATATTTATTGTTTATCTGTTAAATACAAGTTATAAAACATTATTAATCTTAGTAAAGTTTATAGAACAAAAAAAAATTCCTGTTTTTCTATTTGTCGATCGCACTGAAATAAGTATTATATGCTAACGATGGCAGTTTAGTATTATCATCATGAACCCCCCTGTGGCAGAATTTTTTCGAGCTATCTGCGACCATACCCTAAAGAACTAATATCTTTCTGCAAGATACTTCTAATAGTAACAGACATATAAGTTATTAATTTAAAATAACAAAAGCGAAGTTTACAAAGAAAAAAAAATTTTAATATGTATTTTTTAATTGAACATGTACTAATACTTTTTTTTTTAATTCTAACGTTATGGGTGATATTCTTGCATTATTTTAGAGTGGGGGGGGGACTCACATATTGTTTTCTTCTTAGCATTTTGTAAATAAACGTCACAAAAAAATTTAAATTCATGAAATCCATAGTACTTCTGGTAATTGCCGAAAAAAATATTGACAACGAATTTACGCGTATTGAACTTCTCAAATGTGTGGTTCGTTTCGAAATTGGGTTGTAATAAAAAATATTGTATTTAAAAACTATGGAGAAATCAATGGCAATAAACGCCAAAAATTAGATAGAATTATTGCCTTAAAATGTAAATACTCAAATGCACGATTCGAATTCTCCATATTGTTTGAAATATATCGAGATATTTAAAAACCATGTGAAAGTGAATTTCAATAACTGCCGAAAATATAATCCAAACATTACACCGATTTACGATACTATGGGTGTAAATTGAGAGTGTCAAAAAGTGGTTATCTTAATGCATGATTACAAGTAAATTTCTACAGAAAAGAAAAGTAAAATTGTTTGCCTTTTTCAAAAGAAAAATCTTTCCTCAAAAACTCTGTAATGTTCTGCGACAATGTCGCTGCGATTCTGCCACGGGGCATGAACCTATAAAGTAGCTGCTTGTTTCCATATTTATTTATAATTTTTTTTTTAGAAAATTCATTACACTTGTGATTTTGATTGAAAAATTTCTAGAAAACAGTAAAACAAGCAGTTATTACTTATCTTTAGGAAATAAATATAAAAATCTTGCTGCTCTCAAGCATCAAATGCAATTTTATTAACATTTGGCCACAGAGGCAATCTCCTTTCAGCCATTGAGAAGATCCATGTGAGATTTGCATTAATTTCTTTAGAAAAATTAGTTACATTTAAGCCTTGTTTCTTTACTAAATTAACATTAAAAGTATTTGCTAGGAATCGCTGTGAGCTAGTTTTTTTTAAAAGTAGAATGCTACACTATTAAAAAGTAGCTACTTCTGACACTGTAATCGAACGTACTATATATGCAACAATTTGTGTTGAGTAATGCACTTGGCGGTTTTAAGATTTTCTCTTGGGGATCATGAAGGTTAAAACTAGGCAATTTTCTAACCAACGTGATTGTGACAATGTGGTCAGTATCATGCTCAAGCTGCCTTTACTACCCAGGTACACTGGTGCCCATTGATCTGAAGCTGGGTGGGCTTGAAGCCACCATTAGGGTTTGAACCACAGCTCTTCACAATGACGATTCAGTGCCTTAACCAATGAGTAATCTCGGCTCGATAATGTTAGCATGACAACAATTATGCAGACAGTATTTTGCGTCAAGGGGATATTTCCATATTGGTTTTGTTTCACTAAGTTCTTCCTTTTCTTGCTATATTTATTTATTTATTTTTTGTCAAAATCGTCTTAGAATTTAGTTTTTTGTATACATAATTAACATAAGTAGATACATACACATTTATGCCTTACTACTGCTATGGCATCATTTTATGTTTAGTTGTATATTTCATTAAAGATTTTTTTACAGTGTCAGAGGAAGGCTGAATTTTGTGAATATTCTTCATGATGTTTCTATATTATAGATTTTTATTGAAGTACTTCATGGAAATGTTTGCATTATTTGTTATGGAAACAACAGTTTGTGTCTAATTATGTATTTCAAATTTTCTTAACTTTTTCGTTATTGTACTTCAATTGGTTTGAAAAAAAATTTAATCCATTTTTTTCTTGCTATCTAGAGGCCAAAAAAATTTGTTCAATTATTAGCTAGTTAAAAGTAAGTAAATTTGCATCTTTGTTTGAGATACTTGTGAAGATGGAGTCTTTGAAAATGTAGACGAATGGATAAAATAATGGAATAAGCATGGTGCGTAGCATTTTTAAAAAGTGCTTAAAAGTGCTTATTTTCGATTTTTGTTATTTAAAAGCCCTTAAAGGTGCTTTTGTCATTGGATGTTTTTAAAAAGTGTTTAATCTTTCCTTTTCAAAAATGAGATTTTTTTGTTACCATGTCAATTTTCGCCACATATTATGAAAAAGCGTGCTTTTCACATTGTTCTATTACACGTTTTCACAATCCATTTCGGCGTACAGTCGCTTCATAACGTATGAAAGTGCCAATCATTTTACATGTTTGGTGAAAATACTTGCGAGTACATATATGCGTCTACTGAGCTGGGTGCGGGGAGATTGTCTTCTCAAATGCAAACTCTGTAGCATTTTGCAAGATATTCTCAATTTCAGATTTCTTTTTCCACCCTCTGATATCGAACCGAAAAAATCTCTCAATCATTTTATAATGGCTAATGTAATTAAGAAATGAGTTCTTTGTCAGGAACTAGTTATTTTCTCATGATCATCTAAAGTCTTTGAAAATTATTTTGCATTTTGTTAATGTATATAGTGCTTAGAAATATTTCTTGAGTGCTAAAAAAGTATTCAAAAGGTGCTTATTTTTAGTTGAAAGATTTAGCTACGCACCCTGAATAAGCCTAATTAATTGTATATACATTTATTAGATGAGTAATCTTCATATATTTTTTATTTTATTGCAAATTTCTATTATACCTAGTTTTAAGTTTTTTAGGCTTTGATTTACCATTCTCAAGTCCAGTTTGATTATTGTTGAGATCAAAACAAATTTAATTCTATGTTGTAACTTTATGTATTGTTGTAACTTTATCGAATCTGAAAAAAATTGCTCAAACTGATGTACTTTAACTGTATTTTTTAACTATATAATGTATTTATAATTTACAATTTTTCTCATATCTCTTATTCATGGCCAAACATTTGATATAAGTTTATTTTATTTTTATAACGTATTTTGCAATATATTAAATGCTATCAAATCTGGTGTCCATGGGCAAAATTTTTAAATATTTTGATAAATTTTTTTCCATATAATTGATATTTTTAATTACTTAGTTTGGAGTACCGAATAAAATCTTATATTCAATTTAGCAGGTTTACCAAATTAGTTATTAGTATCAGTAATAATGAGCCAAAAAAGTACTTTATATAAAAATCTATCAAAATTATAGTTAAGCTGTAACAAATAAGTTATTATTAATACGTTAAGTTTTTTTATGTATGGACGTCTAAAGTTAGATGCTTTACAATGACTTAAGAAAAAAAAATTTATCTACTCACAAAAGTATTAAAAAAATTTTTTTGGAATAATTTTGTTTTTTAAAATAGGTAAACATTTGATATTTTGTATTTAAAATATACAACATTTTTAACAAATTGCAGCTTATGCTAACATTTTAAAACTTTGAGACAAAATAAAATTTTCTTGTCATTTGTAATTTTGTTTAGTTAATAGGGCTTTGTTTTATTGGTAGAACTATGGACTTTTGTTATATAGGTGTTTCAGTCAACTCGTATTCTTTAAATGATGTATAACTTTTGGGATGCCCATTTTCTTAAATTTTGCCCCTTGTCCAGGAAAATTATATTTGGATTCTATTATATAAAAGAAATCTGGTCAGTAATTATATATTTGTTTTTTATTTTTTCTTGCTAAATTTGCCACGTTGCTTGAACAATAAACTTGCTTAAATTTATTAAACAATTGTGAAACTTAAAACATTATTGTTCTAAAAAAATTACTTCTGTTTTAAGAAATAATTTTTTAGAATAATAATGTCATCACCATTAAGATATTATTCTTTTCATCAGTTGTTGTTACTATTCTTTCAAGCACACTGCAAATAATATCTATTTTCTTTTCAGATACAATCAGTTGTCTAGAAAAATACGAACCCTGGGTCGTGCAATAAAAGAATTAGATATGAAAGATCCTTACAGAAAAGAATCTGGCAATCGTCTTTTACAGCAGCTGTAAGTTGTATTTTTGATGTTTTTCTCTTTGATTTTGAGTAAATTGTTTGAATTCATAAATTTTTGGTGGTAAATATTAATCTTATTCGTATTCTTATGAAATATTGAAAAAGCAGTTTTGAGAATTTCTATCCTTGACCAGGTGTAAGATCGGAAATGAATATTTATTAGAAATAAATATTTTAGAAATAAAATTTAGCACATAGATAACAATAAAAATTATAAAAATTGAAAGTTAAAATAATTTTCAAAGTCCTCCACAGTTTGCAAACGTGGACCCAGCCCTGAGAAACCCTGTGGTTTTTTTTTTTTAGATTGGGCCCACTTGAAAAAACCCATCTCTAATTCACCCACCAAGTGGGATGTATATGAACGGATATATATTATATATATCCAATATTATGAAATGAATGTGATATTTTAGACGAAGAATGTTGACACAAATTTTTTAGTTAAAAAAAATTCTGTATTGATGATGTTAAAAGATAAAACCAAAATAGCCCTATTTTCTAATAAGATCTCCATTATAGATTGCACCTGTTTTCATCTACTCTGCCTTTTTGCATAAAAAATCTATATTTAAAGATGAAGTTCAGAGTGTTATACCCAGAATTCTGTATGAAACCATAATTTAGAATTTAAGTTGAAAGCCAAAACATTCTAAATTATTCACTGATTCTCTTATGACAGCTGGAATATATTCTGATTTTAGATTAATTCAATTTAAACTGCAAAATCAGTTAAGGACTGAATAGTTTTGCATAGCTACCAACTCTATTGGATTTTGCCCGTTTACTCCTGGTCTACTGGTTTAATTAAAATTCTCTTGGTTTTTGTACGTTTTAGAAAATTCCCTACAATTTAGTAAATTTCCTAAAAAATTCTCTATTGAAATAGAATTTTTGTACAGATTATTGCTTGCTTGCTTGCTTGCTTGTTAGAATATTTAAATAAGTATTACTAATACATACTAATAGTAAGTATTACTAATACATACTAATAGTAAGTATTACTAATACATACTAATATAATAAGTATTACTAATACATAACGAACCTCATTTATAGAAATCAGTTCAAAACTTTTTTCGTTCTGAAATGTTCAGTTTATTTTTTTTCAGAACTCTCTTTTTAAATTAATTAAATAAAATCTTTTAGCTATTTTTGATGAACTAAATGCCTATTAATATTCTAAATTATGAGTAATAATACATAATTGGGTTTTTGCCGTCAAAAACTGGTTTTTAACATGACAGTGGTAAAAACCGTGTTTTTACTGGTAAAAACTGTGTTTTTACTGGTAAAAACTGTCAAAAACCTACTGTTTTCTTTAATTTATGTCATATAGCGGACAATATATTATTTTCACATAATTGCCTTTATAATTGAATGTTGTAAATGATTGCTATTGATTTTGCAACTATATACATGTATTCTTATAGAAGGATATACATTCAAACAGAAATATTGTAATAAACTTATTGAAAATAGTGATACTTACTTTTATCATTATAGCTTGATTTGCAAAGGATTCAAAATTTTGCACTTCTTAATTGTTAGAAATAAACAAACAAGCAAAAAAGCTTGGAATTATTCATAAATTCAAGAGCTAAAAAGAGGAATTTAAAATTTGGCATTTCTTAAATATTAGAAATAAGCTAAACAAAACTTTCAAAACTTGTAACTACTAACAAACTCTTAAGTCAAGAATTACTGCTATTTTGTCAAGTTAAAAACTTTTATTCAGTTGGAAAAAAAACATATTAAACAAAACTTAATTACAAACAAAATTGCATGTTCAGTAGTCGGGGTCCCTGTGCCGAAGCATACGATAGCAGGTGACTGAGCAGGATTTTGCGCATTTTTCATTGCCCAGTCGATTTCTGAGTTTAGTATGGAGGAGTCCAAAATTCGAGAAGATTCTTTCAATGGATGCGGAACTGGATGGGCAAGACATAAGCTATCACCAAAACTATGGGTTTTTGACATGACGGTAAAAACTTGTAAAAACCGTAATGTGTCAAAAACTTGCCAACCCTGTTCATAACGTTTCAAGTATGTTTATTGTCAGTCATATCTGGAAAATATTGCAATTTTTCTATTTTGATGACTTTTTGATAGAAATCCCTACGATTCACTTTATAAAAAATATTTAGTACATTATACAACAATTATCATGAATTTTATGTTATTTCATGAAATCTGTTTGATTTTTTCTTATCCATGTTGGCAGCTATGGTTTTATTACTTTTTCAATATTTCAATAATAAGAAATAGAAACTTCTGATATTTTAATTTTTTAGTTTCTTCAAACTGTTGTGAGGACACTCGAGATTAGATTTGATTTATATTTTACATTTTAACGAGTACCCAAAATATTTTAATGTTTATGAATCTTAGCTATGTTTGCTAATAATTTATTTGATTAAAATTTTGTTAATTACAAAACAAAGATTAAATTATGTAGTGAACATAAAATTGTATCTATCAACGAAATGTGAATGCATATCGTATATATTTGTTCATGATATGTTCATTCCTTCATAATTATTAATTAAACTTAATGAGAAATTTGCATGCTCATTAAAATCTTAAATTATAATACTTAGATTGCTTTGAAAAGAAATGCTTTACTTTTTTAAAAAAATTTTCTAGTTAATTTGAAATTAAAGTCTAAAACAAAAATAAAACTTGATAATTATTTTATTTGTATGCTGTAAAGAATTCATATATTAAAAAATACAAATGTATTGAAAAATAAAATTTTTTTGTTGAACATACCATGTTCAACAAAGAGATAAGTGCTTTTTTTTCATGAATGTTTACAATGTTTCTAGAATTTTCATTCATTAATTTCAAGCCAATTATACGTTCACCTATAATTTTAAACTAGCCACATGACTTCGTATGCTTTACATTTTACATAGACTCATTTCAGTAATTTCATCATTATGCAATTTGTTATACATTATGAAAGAAAAAAATGACTGAAATAGTTATTCTCATAACTATTTCTTTTATTAATCCTTTTGATTACAATCAATCATTTTTTCATCCTGTATAATATCTTATGTTTATATTTAGTTTATATAAATTTGCATGTAGAATATACTTGAAAAAACTAATTTAACTCCAAGTGAAATTTGGTATTTTCACGAGACCCCCCTCCCCCATGGACTTGGTTTTTTCTTAAAAACCAGGGTTTTGGTAGTTCAAATAAGTTTCAATAAGTTTCTGGCTTGAAAAGTGGAAAAATCCTCTTCAGTTCTCCATGTCCAGAAAGTGTTCCAAAATAAGTTTTTACTGTGTCCATAGTTATAGTTCAATACTTCTTTGACTTTGTCCAATCATCTGTATAAGTAGACGAAGCGAAATATCATCTTCACAGGTCAGAGAACTATGAGTAATTGACTATTATGCCTTGTATATGTCTAAGGTCATCCCCATTAGACTTAGAATAATGAAAAAACCGAAATGAAAGTTCGTTAGGAGTTCGGGGAGGATAAAAAAATAAAATTAAAGTAACACGTATGATACTGGGGAGAGCTGTTGCACTAAGCCAAGCGAATTGTGTGGGAAATCATCACAATTCGTTTGGTTTCCAGCACTACACATTGGCAATAAATCACCATTTATTGCCAATGTGTTGATATTCATAGAGTTCTGTTCCTAATGTACGAACTTTAAGAACAAATTTATGTGCACAACATCAGTCACATAAACGGAATTATACCTTATGTTCTGCAACAAGAGTTATGTGATAAATTGAACAATCCCAAGAAACGAAAACATACTTGATAATGTAAAAAATTCATTTACTTCATACTTTTTTCACCTTAAGCATTTTTGAAGCAAATTAAGTTTTTACTTAATCAAAACTTTTCTTAATTGCAAATGTTCAGCGATAAACAGCTTACATTGGATACAGATAGATCACAATAAATTAAGCTGCTTGAGACAGCCAAGGCTGACCACCGGCTGCAATGCTTATAAAGGAAAATAATTCTATTTTTGAAAAAGAAAATCAGAATTAGATATCAAATTACGAAATGCCTACACAAAAATTATCAACAGGCCTGCAAAAATTGAGCTGTGACGAAGTGATTGTGCAGTACTATAAATGGCTGATTTTTATATTATACTACTGATTTCAAATATTTTATTAAATGGTCATCAAAAAGCTTTGTGCGAAATGGCTTAACAATTGGCCTACGCAGATTCAAGGTATTAATGTATAGTACGGAGAAAAACATTCCTGAATTACTTTTGATCTAATGATCGGATTTTCACCTACTAGGACTCAATCTTAATGGTTTGAGGGAGTGACATCAAGTATAGTGCAGGCGATATTTTAAGTTGCGAAGTCAGGCACAAGAACGTACTCTCTCTAAATAAGCATACTTTTTTTTTCGGATAGTGATTTTTGACCTTCAAACTATAGGGGTAGTAGTTCTCATGACCCAATAGTTTGGTCATGAGAACAGTCGAAAGTTTGAACTCCTTTATTTTTAATTTCACCATTTATTTGCGTATTTCGTTACATCTTGAGATATTTTTGAGCGAATTAAAACATTTTTTGCATACAATTATACAATTCGTTTATGCAAAAATAATTTCATGCAAAAAATGCTTTTTAATGATTATTTATTATTTAATTTAATTGTAGTCGAAAAATTTTGGAATTTTTAGGTATGCAAATTTTTACATCACTTAAAAAAATTTTTTTTAATTTTTATGGTAAAATAAAAAGTTTGAACTAAGTCAGTTTAATAGTTACTTAGAATTTTAACCTTTAAAAAGTTATGTTTTAGAATTTGGTTTCTTAAAAAATTATTCGATTGATTTTGTTCAAATTTTGCCACGTAAAATTACTGTACGTATTAATTAGATTCAATGATATTTCTTCCGAAATTAGAAAACTTTACAAATTATTTCACCTTTATAAAGGACTCAACAGTCTTATTTTAAATGTTTTTCTTTGTAAAAAGGAAGTAATTATGA